GAAAATAATAATGATAAAATTGCGCATTCACAATAAAAAGAACAAAAAAATTATTTTAAAAAACAAAAACAAAAACAAAGCAAACTTAAATCAACAACTGGGGCCGAAACAGAGGAACAAACAAATTTGTTTGACTGGTTTCGGAGGGGCTGGTCGGCAGCATTTCTTGCGTGGGGCGTGGCAACGCACAGCTGATTTTGGATCGTTACCGTTTGACCCAATTGCGCAGGTGCGCAGAGAGGTGAGTGAGCTGTCAGTAAATGCCAGTTGCCGGTTTTTCAAATTTCTCCCAAAGAAAAGAGGGAGAGAGAGAGAGAGAGAGAGAGAGTAATTTGAAGCTTTCAAGTTCGGGCTAGTCAAAGTCAAAGCTGAAATTGATTAGTCGCTAAGCAGACGCAAGCCAAGACGGACGTGGAAGGCAATTTGGATTAAGATTCGGATAAGGAACTCATTACCGTTAGCTCTAAATATATATACATATATACATATAGATATTGTGTGGTGCGTATTGCAATGATTCATCGCGTCAAGCCATCAGTCAGTCTGTCTGTCAGGGCTCCGTCTTTAGACCTAACTGTTCTTATTGTTGTTGTGGTTGTTGGCTACGAAGAAAGTTGTTTTGGAACATGTTAATTGTCTTTGGTGCGGCAACTGTTTATAGCAGTTGACTCTGTGCAACTCGAGCGGGATTTCTTTTTCGTTCATCTAAATGAAACGAACTTGGCTTGTTCTTAGCGCAACTAAAGATAGAGCTCAAGTCAGATCGAAGAGAAAAGGCCGCTTAGGTGTCGCTTGGAAATGAACTGAGATATATGCTGCTCTAGCTATATATATAATTTACAGATATTCTTCAACAAATCAAAAAGTAACTGCAAATTATTTGAAAGTTCATTCGGTAGACATTCGGAGTAAGTTCGAAATAGATTTGCAGTAAATCAAATTGCTGAAACTAAATTCGGAATTATTATATTTCGGAATGAGCAGAAACTAAGTGGAAAGAAGCTTCGGGAAAAATGCAGCTTACAATCCATTCAAACGTTGAGACGTTAGTGAAATTGAATAGTTACCGCTGAGTGAATTCACATGAAACAAGCATTTAGAACTCAAGTGGGAAAATAGGTCAGGTTTCGGAGTCAGAAGGAATTTCAAATGAAATTTAGCTTCATTCAATTGCAGTCAATTCTTATAAATAGGGGAACGATTCACAGATATTCGGTGCAAAGAAGATATCGCATATGAGAAGAGTTCAGCGCCAGACATTTCCGAATGACCGCAATTAGGACTGATCACAGCCAGACACAAATGCCCGAGTCGGAGGGATCGCCGCTGGCGCTGCTGCTGCTGCTGGTGGCGAACAGCATGGGCGGCGGGGAGGCGCTGAGGCGTAACTTTGATGCGCGCCAGACGAGCGTCAACTCGAACATTCCGCTGTGGAAGCAACGCGTAAGTAGAGCCAAGGCGCCCAGTCTGTCAACTATCTAAAGCAGCTGATCATCCACTGGCACAGGCCTGCGAGAAGTCGCCCAAGTACCAGATGAACTCGCACTACAGCTGCGACGAGAAGGGGGACGTGAAGTGCCTGCCCGGCTGGCAGGGCGATCTCTGCCAGGTGCCGATGTGTCGGCGCGGCTGTGATCCGATGAATGGTGAGTGAGCGACCCCCCAGAGAGAATCAACTCGATCTCAATACCTGTTCGCTCCACAGGCTACTGCCAGCGACCGGGCGAGTGCCGCTGCCGCATCGGCTACACCGGCGAGCACTGCGACAAGTGCATCCCGCTGCCCGGCTGCCAGCACGGCACCTGCAAGAAGCCCTTCGAGTGCGTCTGCAAGCCCGGCTGGGATGGACTCTTCTGCACAGAGCGTGAGTCCCGCTGCTCGAGCTACCAGATTGGTAGATCCATTACTCTAATACGCCTTCTCACTTGCAGCCAGCTGCCGCAGCGGCTGCCACAGCACGCGCGGCTACTGCGAGGCGCCCGGCGAGTGCCGCTGCCGCATCGGCTGGGGAGGCCGCACCTGCAGCGAGTGTGCCACAATGCCCGGCTGCCAGCACGGCACCTGCAACAAGCCGCTCGAGTGCAACTGCGAGCCCGGCTACACGGGCCTGCTTTGCCAGACAGGTGAGTGGGAGGCAAACATCGACTCTTCTCAAGATGCTAAACGTCTCTCTCTCTCTCTCTCTCTCTCTCTCTCTCTCTCTCTATCTTGTCATATTGCAGCGTTGTGCGCCTCGGACTGCAACAAGCAACACGGCTACTGCCGCAAGCCTGGAGAGTGTCGGTAAGTCGAATTCACCTTCATTCGGAGTCGATTCGGAGTGAATTTCATACATGTGAATTGGTAAATGAAATTATGCATAAATGCATAGATGATAAATATGGAATCATAAATAGAGCCGTTATCCATTCGACGCCATTAGCGAATTGAATCCATTCCCAATTCAACGAAATTCGAATGGCGCCGAGTAGATAACGGATGTGATTTCATTCTCCCTTTTGATCCTCCTCGAGTCATAGCAGCCCACATGCAAAAGAGAGGGACAGATAGTGCAACTACTCTCCCTCAGCAGCTGC